ACAAGGGTATATTAATTTTGTTCACATAACGGTTGTTTGTAACAGCCAAAACGAATCGAGATAGATATAGACAAATGTATACATAAATGCTCAGAACGAATAGAGAAATCGATTAAGCCATGTCTGTCTGTCCGTCCGTCTGCCCGTCTGTCCGTCCGTCCGTGTAAACGATAAACTCGAGCAAATATTGAGATATCTCAACGTTCCGTTAATCCAAGGTAGATTGGTATTGAAAATGGGCGAAATCGGACTGTAACCTCACCCACTTCCCATAAAACGGTAATTTCCAGAAATACGAAAACTGCGATATTTTAGTAACTACTGAAGATAATTCACTCAAAATTGATATTTACAATAATTTTCAGACGAAAAATAAGAATATTATAAATTTTTGGAAAATGGGCGTAGCCACGCCCACTTATGGTTACATGTGTATATCTTGGTAACTGCTGCACCAATTTCTTCCAAACTTGGCACAGTTGTTGGCCTTTATACAGCATACTAAATGGCCGAAAATTTTAAAAATCGGCCAATAACCACGCCCACGTCCCATATAACGGTAATTTTCGGAAATACGAAAACTGCAATATTTTAGTAACTACTGAAGATTATTCACTCAAAATTGATATTTACAACAATTTTTAGACGAAAAATAGGAATATTGTAAATTTACATGTGTATATCTCGGTAACCGTTTTACCAATTTGTACCAAACTCGGTATTTTTATTGTGCTTGCCACATAAAAGCAAAGAGTTGAAAATTATTGAAATCGGACTAAAATTACGGCCGCTTTTCATATAAGGGTAAATTTGAGAAATGCTTGAAACTTCAATATTTCGAAATTTAAGGAAGCTAATTTACTTAAAATTGATACACCTCGGTTTACCATGTAGCGGTAGCTTTCGGAGAGGTGAAAATCATATATTTAATATTTGCGCCGGGTATTTATTGTTCCACTCCGCCCGAACTTAGACTTTCTTACTTGTTTAAATCTTGAGCCTTTCGTAAATATGAACAATCTCGCAAAAATTAACAGGCTTGGTTTTAATTAGTTCATATTATCGCGAGCTCACTGTATATGAAATTTCAGCGAGTTTGTAGTACGGGAACTACTTTTGACCGCAGCTTATATAGGGAGGTCCCATTGTGCGTCGGCGATATCACCTTTGCCAGGCCTCTGCAACGTATAAGTTAATAAGCAAAATTATACACTAGTGTATGGGGACGATGCAATGATGAGCTGTATGAGCTAGGGCTGGGACTATCCGCATATTCGAATATCCGGATATCCATGCGGATTATCCGTTGACACGAATAAAATCAGGATAGTATGAATATCCTGTTAATATTCGTTTGTGCAATTATTCGGATAGCTGGATTTACGCAGATCCGGTTAATATTCCTATTTTCGGATATCCAAAAAAGGTCAAAAACGATACTTTAATTTCCCAATCCCAGGCGCTCATATGCAGTAGGAAGTTTTCTATACGCATAAAAGTATAAACAGAATCAAATCGATCAGAGAAATTCGTCGAAAGAAAGTTCGCTGCCAAAATTTAAACGCACTGCAGTATATGAGATTGCTCACAATCAAAGCGACGACGAAGTTCGTCTGACGAAATTCGGCAAGAATAGATTTATTTTTAATTTTGCCGCTGCCGCCGGTAACAAAATCAGCTCTCAGTGGAAAAGTAGCTTTGTTTCCCCATTTTTGGTGATTCATCTCTTCGATTTTGCATTTTTATATTTTTTGTTTGTCATTCATTTGATGCGAATTTCTGTTCTGTTTTACTAAGCATTTCTGTTCTGTTTTCTTGCGGCGAATATCACCCGGCGGCATCGCTCCGACCGACGAAGATCCCATAGCGATTTGGTTATGTTTATATTTTAAATTTGTTTGTTGAACTTTTTTTCGTTTGAAGAAGACTTTGAAATTCCAAAGTGGAATATTGGAAATTTAAAAATTTATACAAACAATTTTGTACGTAGAAATAGAAAACTTCTTACTACACATTTATGAGCACTTGGTGTTGGGAAATGAAAATATCGTTTTGATAACGAAAAATTCAGAGTAACCGGATTTTTCATTTAGGAATCCGGATATTCGAATATCCAGATTTTTCGTTATCAAAACGATACACGCTGGGGGTAGCAGAGGAAGAGGGAAGCCCCCACTGCGATGGAAAACCAATTAGAGTCAGTTGGCACAGAAGTGAAGCAACTAGCGTGCTTTGTTGGACTCGGCCAAAATCGCTTAGGCGGTTATAACGCCAAATAAGAAGAAGAAGTATCAGGATGGTTTCGGATGCAGATGTACATGCATGTGGGGAAAGTTTTATCTTTAATCACCGTGGAGTGGACACCCATTATTGTGCATCTGGTTCAAGCACACCAAGTATCCTCTAGGTAGCAACCGAGCACCCTTCCGGACACAAGCTAATGCGAGAAGGCAAACCCCCAACAATCGGTAGTACGCTTTCTTATGTCCATTTTTTTTCTTATATAACCACACCTCTCTTATATACAAAAATACAGCATGTAGAATTTTCTATATCTTGTAATCTTTATTTCCGTATTTTTTATTTATAAGTTAATTAATTGTTATTTTTAAATAATTGTTTCATAGAACAATTGAAAAATGTAATTGCAATTAAATTAATTGCAGTGTGCAATTACAAATTTAATTGCAATTAAAATTTTAATTGCAAATAATTTAATTGCAATGCACAACTAAAAGTTTAATTGCAATTAATTTAATTGTAATGTGCAACTTTTCAATCAAATAACGAGATGATTAAAAAAATTGCTTGAATTATGCCCAACACATAGCCTTCTAAATATCAATGTAGGTAGGTATTTGTTAAGGATTTGGCCATTAACTAGAGGAAGCATATAGATTTACACCTCTACGATAAGACCCATTATCGGCTACGCATCTGTGGTGTGGTGGAGAAGGCTCTTACTTCGGCATTAGCGAAAAAGATGTGCTTACCAAATTTCAAACGGCAATCGCCGTGTGCTGAATGGGATGTTTCCCTACAACACCTGTGTCTACTCTTGATGCACAGCCTAACGTACCGTCGCTAAGTGTCTTTTTCCGGGGGGATTCTCTCAAAGCCACTTGTAGAGACGGAAATTGCTGGAGCCAGAGATCTAGACGTTAGTGTATTCTTAATGTCAGAGGATAGTACATAAAATCTTTTCAGCACACGCAAAGATCCTCCTATTTCCTTGTAATTACAATGTAAGAAGGAGCTATAAGCAACAGCGTGTACGCAAATTTGGGCACCTATAAAAGATTACGTACTTCTCTTTTTTACTTTGAAAATAGTTGTACATTTTCGATGGGCACCTGAATACATATTTGAAACAATAAACTACTTAGTTTTATTATTAATACACTTCACCGTGTTTCCTTTTTTCTTTTATTTGACTTACACCTCGGCGCTAACGTGCAACTGATTCTTGCCACAAATCCGCTAGATGTTCACGAGATGTATACCAAATTAGGTTGAGATCGGTCAAGTAGGTTTTGAGATACACATATACGATATAATTTGGCGGTGCCACCCCCATTTTCCTAAAATTTCCTGAAAAACCACTTCTTTGCTAAAGACCGATTGTATATATCAATTTTGAATAAATATTAATGAATTCTTTAGCCACACTGCTCAAAAAATCTGAAAGTCCGGCACATAAACAATATAAATTCAAGGCCGTATTTATGAAAAGTCGCCTAAATTCGACAATTATTTTGCTGGTGCAATAAATGGGCTATCGGTTTATTTAAAAATATATTTAATTTTAGATAGTACTACATATTTTTAAATTGTGGAAACTATCGATGGTCAAAATTTAAAAAATTTAGAGAAATATGGGTTTTTTATCTTACGCGCTAAAAAGTCCCAACAAGCCAAGTCTGACAAAAGATTTTTATATACCATTTTAAAGGCCTATATATCCTCTTCTCAGATCACATTCGGTCTTTGAAATCGAATCAAAACTAGTCATTCAAAAACACATAAATCCACAAAATCTTATTTTCGGACCTAAATCGACAGGTCGCGACCTCTAAATGACCTTGGAAAAATAGATAAAAATGGGAAATAATGCTTCTCATAAAAACGAATACAAGAGGGGGTAGGGTCTTGAAATCTCAAAAAAAAAAAACATTTTCGATGGGTACCTAGGGTATGTATATATGTATAAAAAATGTGCAATTATTTTTAGTATGTATTACCTTAAATTTCGAAGGCGATGAAGCGTGGTGGCTCTAGGACGTCAGATTATTTGGATACTCGCAAGATAAGTAAAATTCGTTCTTCTTTCTGCTAATTAGTTTAGCCCACGAAAACTGTTTATCCCGCAAAGGAAATTTTAACATACATATCGTTTTTAAAACGCCGTTTTGTAGCTAACTATTGTGTATTAAAAAGTATTAGGTTGGGTCTTAAATTGAACTGTTTAGGATGCTGGCCTAAACACACTTGACGACCGAAAAATACAAATATGTATGTCAAAGGCCTTTAAAAGCGAAACCAAGTTTCAAGTACCGCTCAAAGATTTCTATCACTATGAAAATGAAGAATAAAAAATTTTTTTTGAAATTTCAGAAGCAGTGGTGAAGGATTTGGGACAATCTGAACTGACCTGAATAATTTCAAATCATGCAATGTTAGAAATTTGGCGATCTTGCTCCACGCTAGAAAATGCCAAAATTTCTCCTAGCGAACTATACATTATTTTTTTAAACCTAATGTAGTTACCTGTTTCGTGAAAGGCTTAAATTTGCAGCCAAAATATATAGGCGTCTGTGGCGAATAAGGATATAACATGTATCGCATATTTTCTATGACAGCATACCTAAAATATAAGAGGCAAGATTTTAATTAACATAAATAAACATTTTCAAAAATATCCTCTTTACTTACGTATCATCGTCCGCTTTATAGAACCAATCTGCCTCGTCCAAGTGATGGGCATGTATGTATTTGAAAGCCTCCTTCGTCTTCCCCCATAAATTGTTGCGACCCTCACCTACCGGTAACGCCACCGAGCCCAGCTCTTCATCTTTCTCAGTACTCATAAACAAAAGCTTATTACAACGCCGTCCCCACGTTCGCTTAACGTGGCGTGCCTTGGACTTGTGATTCTTGGGATTTGTCATAATCCAACACAGTACTCGAACTTCGTTAGTTAATTTTGTGGCTAAACTATTATTTTCGAATGCATGCTGATGTGTGCCAACATCCGCTTCCGGTCCCTCCTCGCCGAGCATATCATGACTGTTGTGTGGGTCATTTATGTCGCCATGTTTATGTCCCGCATATGGGGAGTATTCGGGATGGGAAGGCGTTGACATTATGAACATTTCCGCTAGACAGAATCCGACAACCAGTCCCACTATGAGCGAAAGCAAGGAGCGTCGATTCGATCGAGTTCCTGTCGGAATGAGAGGCGTGTGATTTGTCGCCATTGAAACTTAGTTAAACAAAAAGCAAAAATATGTGGAGTATTCTTAATAGGTGATTTTCTTATTTAAGAATATAAATATAATGAGTAGACGCGAGAACTAATTGAATATGTTGTTGAACGTGACATTTTCTGTCGAATGCCAAGTTTACAGTAAAAATAGTTTTTAAAGTTCTTCAGTATGCTCTACCAACCTTGCAGAATATATGTGCATACATACATATGTATGTACATTAGGGTCGTCCAAAAATGCATGTGAAAAAGTAAAGTCGGAATTTTTATGCTCTCACCCCTAGGATTGTCCATCCCTAAAAAAATATACTCTTATTTTTTTTTTTTGAAATCAAAAAATAC